ATGATTTTTAATGGGATTACTTGTGTATCGACTCTGTTTATTTAAAGCACATGCTATGTCTGGTCGTGTAAAACTCATGAAATATATCAAACTTTCCAAAACTCTAGCATAATCCAATTGAGACTGAGTGTCACCTTTATTCTTAGAAAGATTAAGGTTCACATACCTTTTGAATATAATGATATTGAGATAATTCTAGACTGTTAGAAGTTTTGTAAATTTTAATTTCCAATATCAGATTGACAACTCCTAGATCTTTCATATCAAACTTACTGGAGAGTAGACGCTTAGTAGCTCATTATCAATTTGTCACTTGTCACAACCCAAGACCATACCCTAGAAGATATGGCACTCTCAGTGTGCAACTTGTGTACTTGACCTCTCGAATCTCTTGTACAAGCACTTCTGTATCGTTCATCACATATAAAACATAAGAAAAGTAGTGCGGAAATACTAAGTCTAATTTCATCAAATCTTAGACACGAGGATACCTTGGCACACGGCCCGGCCCATACACAATACGAACATAATACTGCTAAGTCTATTACAATACTTTGATAAAGGAAATAAAAGACATCTATGGCCTCGATTCAAATAACGACACACTTTAACTTCACTTGAATGAAGCTACAATCCAAGTCTTTCTTCCCAAATACTACTCACCTACCAATCACTATAGAAATAGATAAAAGCATCGAATTAGTACAAACACATGTAATAAGTATGACATAATGCATAAAATCATGAAAATGGACATTTATTAGAAATGTGCATCTTTTTTTACTTAAATACTATAACATAATCATAAGAACATCATTTAACACCTTAGAAACAATATAAGATAACTTTTAAGCAATTTAGTACATTTTAGGAAATGTTTCAGTAAGCTTAGCCAATTTTACAGTGAACTTTGTCACTTTAAAGTGACTATTCCTTAAGGTTACAGTGAATCCTATCAGCTTCATCTAGAAATCTTTCTAGCATGCACTTTTCCCACTAAAAGCTATCCTAAGACTCACTTAAGTAAGAAAAAGAGAGACCGCCCATGCAACCTCTCTAGGCACACCTAAATGATCCTTAAGACCATCTAAAATGAGATCAACACACAATTACAAGACACCAATCACATGAACATGAGATCCTTTTACCAAAGGAGATTCTAAGTCTCACTTGAGTGAGTTGTGAAGAGACCGCCCATACAATCCCTTGTATACAAACTTAAGAGATCATATAGACTACTTAAGATAGAATCGTTCTCACTTAATACATCAACACATAAATAATGTGACACTCTCCTTCCAAAGACTATCAAAAGACTTACTTAACTGACAAGAATATAACTTCCACGATTGACCTCATAAAGATTACCTAAATGATACTTTAGACTACAAAAGTCTTAGATCATGTCCACATAATCAACCATCTTCCCTGACTAGACTTATTCTTAGGACTTATCTTGTTAACATAAGAAGTGACAATTCCTATGCCCCCTTCATACCGTAACTAAAAACCCTTAACTGCTCTAGATAAGAACTTATTCCTTTAACAAGCTTCCTTTACTCAATTCATTACCTTTATTAGTTCATTTAAGAATCACTATCACATAAGGACATTCAACTAATGGTCTTGGAAAATACCCAGGGACTCTAACTTACACCTTCAAAGACTATTGTGAAATGTCTAGATAGCGTCTCATACCCCCACCGAAGCTTCATAGAACTTCTCTAGTACTAGTAGGTACTACACATGATGAGAATACACAATAACCGTTATAGACCATGATAGCTAAACGTGGAATCCGGAGTTCTAACCTACTCCAATGAGGGTGTTCTTTTTTCCAAGGGTAGAACTAAGAAACATCTCATGTAGGCACATGGTTAAGGAATATGAAGAACTTTTATGCACTCTAGTCTCATTCTAAAGTATAGCTACATTGTACCCTAGTCTTCTTCTCAAGTAGAGCTACTTCCCGTAACATAATCACTCGGTTCTAGCCTTCGGTCTCATAGAGTAATTGACATTAAAGGTTCATAGAAAGAGGTTCGATATCTAGTTCATAACCCAATCAGATTCACCCTACCAGAGCGGTCCACTAAGGCTACCGTTCAATGGCGACTAAGATATCTCATTATCACTTTACTAAGGATGATATGATGTTGTTCCATCCAATCAACCCTAAGTCCATTATTCATTTACATGAAGGACACCATTACGACTCTCGACTTCAACATCCATAACCTTCCACTAGGTTATAGGTTCCACGTACATGACCTTCTTAACATCATCTAAGTTCTCACATATCATTCATTCATACATTCATACATTACAAGGTCTCACTAAGCCTACATAGTCAATACATCTCATATTCACATATCATTCATACATGTATTAAGAAAGGGACACAAGTCTACAAAAACAAGACACAACATACTTTACTTTCTCACATAAAATATATAATTCTTTGAATCACTTAGGTATGACCCTTATCATCTTTATTTCATCCTATACCTTACCATAACATCATCAATATAACCATCATAGACTCATATTGTCATGTAGCAACAATCATGCATCAACATCTAAAACTACACATATAAGCACATAGTCATAGACTAACATGATCTCCTAATATACATAGAAAGAACACATACTTTCACTTAATCACATGTAGATAGAAATACTTATACTTAACATAAATAAACTAAACAAATCATCGTAATACTTCAAGTAGTGCCAACAAGGCCATGATTATCATAATTCATAAAATAACGCCGACAAGGCTACATCAATTGCAAGTAAAGCACATAACACCGCCACCATAAGTGGACCATACAAATCACAACATAAATTAAGTCTAATTAACATAAAATAAAGGGAATTATGGCAGCGTAGCACCACTCCATCCTTAACGCTTCAATCCAATGCTAAATCATCCAATTCAATACCATAAGGCCATTACCCATGGTCATAACCAATAATTCAATGCATAAACAATGATATTCAATGAAACTAGGTCAATATATATTTATTAATTTAAGACAAAGCAGATATCAATTTAATACAACTATTACATGAGTCAATAGCCCATAGAAAACTACACTAGAATTCATAAGCATTAAGTCTAAATCACTTAACCCATAAAGTAGTCAAAACTAGGGTTCATCAATTACATGGGTTCATAGTTTAATTGAGTTAAAATCATAGAATTCATAACAATACAATCAATATTCAATTCTAAAAAGCTTTTAATGCAAGAACCCATGTATAGATCATGAAATTGGACAATTCTTCTTTGAAAACATTGTAAAACTCTTTAGAAGTTAGGCTCCTTGATGAATAGAGTTTCAAGGATCAAAAAGCATACCTCACTGAATCTAATACACAAATTTGATGAATATTCTCCACTCAAACCTCCAATCCAATCCCTTCCTTGAGTTTTGGCTCCAATGGAATTCTAGAGAATTTCTAAGGTAATTTGGGTTTTTGATTTTGAAGAATGAAATCTTCTAAGTGTTAAAAGCTTATAATTTTTTTAAAAATACCCAATATACCCCTATGAAACTAACCTTTCTCTTATTTGTATGTGGGGTGAATTTACAACTTCACCACTAACTTAGCATTGACTGCACACAATAGACAGACCCAATCAACGACTTGATCATTGACGGGGTGTAAGTCCACAAATGGACCATCATGTCCTGAATCGAGGGTTTTAGAGGCTGGAAAATGGGAGGTTATATCCCTAGTCTAAGTCCCTTATGACTCCCTCCACCAACGGGGCGTCGACCAATCCACTAGGTGTCCTCTGCGATCCGTAGGTGAGACTACCTTAAGCAGACTTGGCCACCAACATGGTTACTACCTCAAGGACCCTTGGATGGTCATTGGGGATATTATCCCGACGTATCTAACCCAATATGTTTTTATAAGAGTTAAGGACCTAGTTCATGAATTTCATTTAAAACAAACACGTAAAACTCAATGACAGGCCTAGACACACAAGGTCATTTAAGGCAAACATTTCGAACGTGATGGACGTTCTTGGATGTATAACCAACTTCACGAAACTTGAAAAACTACCTATAAACACTATATTTACTTATATAATTACCTAACAAGCTCATGAAACACATTTATAAGGATATAACCACATATTAGGCACATATATAACTTAGTCATCAAACGTTTTGATCGTCCCTTGACGTTTGACTTTCAATGAACCTAAATCTTTAGACACTACCTCAATACCACATTATACACCATTTTAGGACTTTATACTATCAAGACAACTATTTTAGGCTCTGGCTTCACCTAATTCATTTGAGGGGTGTTATAATCTCTCCCACATGGACAACATTCATCCTCGAATGACACTTGCCATTCTCCAAACATTTTCAAGAATAGAAATTAAACTAGCAGCTCATGACCATATCATATAACACATTATAGAAGACACAATCAAGGAGAAAAATCAATTTCACATAATCAAGAGCATCACAATATAACAAGACACGAGAATAAATTCTAAAAATCATCATGCTATAAAACTCACATCCTTCATTCCAAATAGTAAAAACTCTTGTTATATTAATTATCATGGTCATATACATCAGTTCTAACCACATTGCAACAATTTTATACCAAATAATGAATTAGTCCAAATCTCAAAATCTTCATAGCGAGTAGATTTTTCCCTGGAAGCTTTACATTGAAATTTTCTACATTTATCAAAAATGCATCTTTTAGGTAGTTCATGATGATAAGATGCTAATATGCAATGTAGAACCACATATACACATCTTACAACATAATAATAACTTCATGGAATGCACAATACAAGGAATCAATGAAATTCAATTTCAACAAGACCCTAAACACAATGCACATGCAACGTACTTCTATGACTTTTTACTTCCAAGCTTGAGTTGAATGGAAAAGATGAAACAATCAATCAAAACTCTTTTACTCACTACACTCCCCCATAGAAGACACTCATAAAACTAAGGAGAAATACAAGGACTTACCATTATCATTCTCATCCCGCTTTTCTCATCTAGTCCAGAGTGCATAGAAACACCTCTTATTTGGACATCATCCTTTGGAACACTAGGTGCAACCTGTTTACCCTCTCTTCCTCTAGACGCAGTGGTAGGACAATATATAACCTTATGATCATCTTTCTCACAACAAAAACAACCACTAGTACTGGCTAGACACTTCCCATAGTGCCTCTTTAACCAAGTAGCACATGTAGGCTGTTCATTTTGAGAACCACCTCCTCCCTCAAATTTCAGATTAGCACTCCGCAGTTTTTCTTGAGTTTGACCCTCTTTTTGAACCTTGTTGATCTGATCACTAAAACCACTCTTTCTCAAGTTTCTAGTTATCTTGTTAAATTTGGATTCTTCAATTGATTGGGCGTACACCATGAATCTAGCTAAGGTCATATCATCATGTATCATGGACGTACGACATTCTTCCTTTACTAGATAAGCGAAACCCGTCACAAACCTACTCATCTAATTCCTAGGGTTAGACACAAGGCATTAGGCATATTTGGACAACATAGAGAACTTCAAGGAGTATTCCACAACATTCATATTGCCTTGTTTGAGATTGACAAACTCCTCTACCTTAAAATCCCTTCTATTATGGGGAAAGTACCTTCCAAAAAAGCTTCCTTAAATTCTTCCAACTCAATTGGACCCCACTCAACCGGCCTATTGACTTTCCATTGTGTGTACCACACTTGACAAACATCTTTCAATTTATACGAAGTCAACTCTGCTTTCTCCCTAGAAGTCACTCTCATTTCATGCACTATCTTATACACCTCATCAATAAAATCTTCGGAATCCACTCCCACCTTATATACAAGAAAGATAGGAGGATTCATCCTCACAAAATCTATCAATCTAGATGGCATAGTTCTCTCCACACCATTCACTCTTGGCTCCATACTCAAATTCACCTGAGTAGTCATGGCTCGGGCTGAGGCAAGCAAAGCCTCTCTAATCTCTCTGTTAGTCAATTTCAGGGGAACCATTGAACATCATTACCTCCAACCACAATATGGACTTGATCACCTTGAACACCTAGATCACCTTGAGGAACTTTCTCAACTTGAGGAGGAGTCTCCTCATTCACATCATTCTCCTCAACCCTCTTAACTGATATCCTCCTCATATTAATCTTCCTAGAAACACAAGGAAAATCATAGTAAAATAGTACTCATAACTTTCACTCTACGACACGACATAAGAGTAGAAAAGAAGGGAAACTCTATCGTCCTATAGCCTCTCGCCAATAGATGTGTCGCGACTCACACCGATGGTCAAGAATCTACTAGATGTGACTTGAGACTTTTTGACTAATGAAGGATTGAGAAACCCTTAGATAGAGGTTCGATTAAATGGGAGGAATTAAAAGAGTCTTTCCTAGATAGGTTCTTTCCCCTAGAGTGGACGGATGAGAATATGGTTGAATTTATGAACCTTCGTCAAGGTGGAATTAGTTTGCAAGAGTACTCCCTCGAATTCACCCACCTCTCTAAGTATGTCCCAACATGGTAGCCAACCCTTGGGCTAGGATGAACAAATTTGTGATGGGAGTGTCTATCTTGGTGGAGAAAGAGTGTCATACTGCAATGATTCTTAATGACGGATATTTATAGGCTCATGGTCTATGCACAACAAAGAAAAGGAAAGAGGGTAAGAGGACTTGCTTGAATGATTCTAGTCACCAAAAGCCTAAGAAGAGGTTCTATCAACAAAATTATTCCATTGGAAACAAGGAGAAGCTCCAAAACAATATTCCCAAGGTGATGGCCATACTTGTAAGAGAACTAGGTGGCCTACTTGTGGGAAGCAACATTTGGGTAAGTGTCTTGCCGGAATGGATGGTTGTATTGCATATGGTAATAAGGTACACAATATGAGGTAATGCCCTAAAATCAATGCAATATGGAAATATGTCAATCAAGCTTCCCTAGATCCTAATGCTACAAAGAAGAACCTTTCCTATGGGATGGGAGCTAGGAAGGATAACGAATCCGGATTTGATGTTCTTGGTAAGTCTTAACTCTTTATGATTATTCTTTTTATGTTATGAAATGAGTATTTAGTTTTATAGTTCATATAATCATATCATCTTGATGAATTACTCAAAGAATGGAATTTTGAAAATTTTGAGTATGTTGGGCAGTGTTATAGTGAACCTCACTGTAAAATTGTGCATCTTAAGAAAATTTTCTTGTCTTGAATTAAAGTTTCAATGTGTGAAAAATTGTTGCATATGATCATATTTAATGTTGGAGAAGCTAGTTCCTCCATAGGATATACTTAAGGGTGAGTTTTGAAAATTTTGAATTTTGCAAGAGTTGCCTATATTGCTAAGTGTTTGTGAGTGTGAAATGATGCAGCTTGATAGTTGATGTTATGATTTTGAGTGTTTGAATCATGACTATATGTGTTATATGATTCTAAGTTAGTCGTTGTGGTTCTTGAAGTTTAAGTGACATTCGAGGACGAATTTTATTCTAAGTGGGGGAGAATGTCACGCCTTAAAACGAACTAAGGTGAACTAGATACTCATGAGTTTATATTGATTTAGTTTTGTGTTAAAATGAGTTAATTTAGTTTTCTTAGTCAATGTGTGAAGTTTGGTTAAGTTTGGAGGTCAAATGTTTAAGAACATCCATGACGTACAGATGATATGCCTTAGAAAGTGTTCTTGCGTCTTGTTGTGTTTGAGTGAGTTTTATGTGTTCGTTTTTCTTGAAATTGATGTGAGTTGTTCCTAAGACCTATAAAAATTATTTTAGGGGCTTATCTTCCAGTCAATACCCCACCTAGGACCCACAAGGTGCCCTAGATGTAGGGCCAAAGACTTGGAGAAAATTGCCTAAAACACTACTCAATCGACAAGGCAGTCTACTGGGAATAGGCCCATCGGCGCCCCGTAGACTTGGGGGGGGATTCGTCCCATACATAGTGGTAATTAAATCCCCTCCCTTTATGCAGCCTCTGAAGCCATCGACGCCCAGCAGGATGTGCCATCGACCCATCGGCGCCCAGTAGCTTGGGTCGTCAATTGACTACTTCCAAAAGTTGCTGAAATTGCTGCCAACTTGGGTAGTTTTGTGTAAATTCACCCCAAGTATTTTATAAACATAGTTCAATATATTTAGTGTTATTAAGTTATATAAAGTTAGTTTTAAGTCCTAGACCTAGGCAAGACCATTCACTTAAAGTATTCAAACTCCCTCTCTAAACAAAACTCTCTCAATGTCACCATTGGAGCTATGACTCAAGGAGGGCAAGAAGAGATGGTTTTGGAAGTGTTTCTTAATAAAATAATAGTGGTTTTCCTTATATTTGAGGTATGGTATCCATCCTTGAACCCTCTTACATTCAAGGAGTAGTTTCCAAAAGATTTCAAAAAGGGTTTTCCAACCAAAATTCTTTCTATCTTTGATTTTATGCATGGGTCTTCTTGTAAGAGTGTTCTAATGATTCATCTATGTTTATTATTGTATTAATTTATGATTTTCATGTTAAAAAAATAATGAACTCATGTATATTCATATTTCAAACTTTTAATTTAAAGAAACGGGTTAAATGATAATGTTTGGGTAATATACGAACTTTGGTTTTCTTATGTTATTATTTAGGTTTGGATACAGTCCTAAGGGACTTATTATGATGAGATGTTGAGAAATATATTATATGTGATGATTGCTTGATAGAATGTTGATTTGCTTATATTGTATAGTGATACGCTCAAACTTACTTTCAAATAAGAAGTAAAGCGGTCGTATCAAGTAAAGAACCCAAGTAATGAGGTTAGGATCGTTCCCACGAGGAAAATAGTAAATACATAACTTCAATATATTATAACTATTATTTAGTCATTTATTTCCTTGGAAAAGAAAGACAATAAAAGGGGGGTTTCTATTTTTAAATGAATGAACATAATTAGCTAAATCAATGTAGACAACTAACAGATTCAAATGTTGGAGTTTAAATAGTTAATAAAAGTAACTAGGGTTTACGTGTTCCCCAAAGGTTCCTAACTTGATAATTCTAACTATAACAATTCTTTCCTAGTATCTTGCATGCAAAGTTATAGTTATGTATTTCTAGATCCTTGTTCCTGCATCTAGAAAATTTCACTCGGCACCTTGGTCCGGCTGCGTGTGTTGCTATACTAACCCTTACAATATTAAGCATTGTATTCGATATTTGACTAAGTTATTACCTCGTACCAATCAATACTAGCCTATTAGATAGTATACACTAAATCTATGTTGATAATTATTATCCTATTATCTACCTCCTTGGTCTGTCAAGTAGCATTAAGGCAAGTTCTAACGTTGTCCATCCGTTAAAAACACTTCTAAGCAAAAGAATTATAAATACATGCAAGATACTATTTTAGAATTGTTATTTTAGTTAGATTTTATTATATTTTTCACCCATGGTTCCCACAACCCTAGTTATGGAGTTTAGTTACCCATAGTCATAATCACAATATTCATATATATAATATAAGATTTCATGCACTTACTTCAATGAGAAAGAATAAAATTTAGAAATTTCTTTGATTAATCAAAAAAATCACCAACAATCAACTGCAGAGAAAAGTATAACAATCCAAAGTGTAAGAATCAAAATAATCTCCTCACAAAAAATCTAACATAAAAGTGTCTAATAACCAAGAGTCTAATCCCAAAAACGAGGTTTTTCGAACTATTTATAAAAAATAAAAATATAATCAAAGAAGGACTCTAATTGCTGGAAATCTGTCAAAACGCGGTTGGGTCAACGGACCTCGCGACGGGTCGTCGTGGTCACGACGGGCCATCATGGACTCCGTCGTCCCATACTTTGCAAATTCTTATGCTGCTCTCTTTATTACCCTCAACGGGAGGTATGACGGATTTTCACAGGCACAATGGTCCGTCGAGGGTCTTCGTTCCATAACACTTAAACTCTTTGGAATTTCGGTACTTGGACTACTTCTCAGATCATTATGACGAACCAGCAGGATGGACCGTCATGACTACGACGGTCCGTCAAGTACTTCGTAACCCCACACTTTGTCAGACTTCCCCATCTTCCTTCAACAGCTTCACTACGTTGTCACCTACGGACCGTCACAGGCATGACAGACCATCACAAGCTCTGTAGGTGGTACTTTTCTGCATTTCTTTCTCAACAACTTCCGCGTTCATTTTTAGACAGGTTTCCTATAAATAAAGAGAAACTTACATAAAAACTAATACAGAAAGGAGTTTGGAAACACAGTAAACTAAGAAAAAAGCATTAAAAATATCGTAAAACCACGGTTATCAACACCCTCAACTTAAATTCATTGTTTGTCCTCAAGCGACGCACTATGACCCAATACAAAATCTTTGTACAATAGTATCCATGTTTTATCTTTCGCAATCATTTGTATATCAATCCGGATCAGTCTCATCATATTTATGCATGTTATCAGTATTAGGCTTGAATTATGTGGAATTATACCATGACACAGACTCACCACGCACTGACACCTATCCTTTTCAATTTCTCACCGAGGTGCTAATATTTCTGGTATTGCAACTAGTGTCCTCTCTTCAAAAAAACTTCCTCATTTTTCACACAATGATTTCAGTTTTAGTATAAGGATTATTTTTCAACACTTACTCTCAGAACAAATTCACAACTCATTCAAACATATTTCCATAAGCTTGCCCTCATTTTCACTTATTTAAGTTCGCTATACAACTTTTAGGATCACGATAGGACTTTATTAGCTAGTAACATAGACTTAGGGTAAGGTAGTGTATATTTTGGTATACTTTAGTGACTTTTTGCCCTCCTTGACGTATTGTCTAAACATACCACTTTTTATCATTTTATTTCGCCCAGTTTCTCAATTCTTTAACCTTGGTATTTTCCCTTCTTTCTTCATTTGTGTAAGTGACTCTCTTCTTTTCTTGCTTGTATTTTTTTATTGCACTTTTCTTTCACAGATTCTTGAGTCATTTAACTTTTG